ACGAAACTGTTGGGGTTATTCCTAAAAATGCTTGGGCAATAGATCCATTTGGATACTCACCTACCATGGCATATCTTCTCCGTCGCATGGGTTTTGAAAATATGCTTATTCAGAGGACCCATTATGAGCTGAAGAAGGAACTTGCACTGCATAAAAATTTGGAGTATGTATGGCGTCAGAGCTGGGATGTGGATGAAACAACCGATATTTTTGTCCACATGATGCCCTTTTATTCTTATGATATTCCACATACTTGTGGTCCAGAGCCTGCTATTTGTTGTCAGTTTGACTTTGCTCGAATGCATGGCTTTGATTATGAACTCTGTCCGTGGAGAGACGATCCAGTAGAGACCAACCAGGGAAATGTTCAGGAGCGGGCACTTATTCTACTAGATCAATATAAGAAGAAATCAACACTGTACAGGACAAATACACTTCTTATTCCTCTTGGAGATGATTTCCGCTACAAAAGCATCGATGAAGCTGAAGCTCAGTTTAGGAACTACCAAATGCTGTTTGATTATATCAATTCTAATCCCAGTTTGAACACAGAGGCCAAGTTTGGAACTCTGGAAGATTACTTTTGGACCCTTCGTGAGGAGGCTGAAAGAATAAATCATTCACTTCCTGGTGAGATTGGTTCCTTTCAGGTTGGGGGTTTTCCTTCTTTGTCAGGTGACTTCTTCACTTATGCTGATAGGCAACAGGACTATTGGAGTGGCTATTATGTTTCCAGGCCTTTCTTCAAGGCTGTTGATCGAGTTCTCGAGCAGACAATTCGTACCACAGATATGATGATTGCTTTCCTGCTTGGGTACTGCCAGAAACCACAATGTGAAAAGTTGCCCATGGGGTTCTCCTACAAGTTGGCTGCAGCTAGGAGGAACTTAGCTCTTTTCCAGCATCACGATGGAGTGACTGGTACTGCTAAAGATCATGTGGTCCTGGACTATGGGACTCGGATGCACACATCTTTGCAGGACTTGCAGATTTTCATGTCTAAAGCTATTGAAGTACTGCTCGGAATGCGCCATGAGAAAAATGACAATAACCCGTCTCAGTTTGAGCCAGAACAGGTGAGATCTAAATATGATGTTCAGCCTGTTCATAGAGCAATCATGGCCCGTGAAGGAACTAGACAGTCGGTGGTGTTTTTTAATCCTTTGGAGCAGACAAGAGAAGAGGTTGTGATGGTTATTGTTAACCGTCCAGATGTTACTGTTCTAGACTCAAACTGGACATGTGTTCAAAGCCAAATATCCCCTGAGCTTCAGCATGATAAAAGCAAAACTTTTACTGGAAGGCACCGTGTCTACTGGCAGGCTTCTGTTCCTGCATTGGGGTTGCAAACATATTACATTGCTAATGGGCTTGTTGGATGTGAAAAGGCCAAACCAGCAAAACTAAAATTTTTCTCAAAGTCTGGTTCTTTATCCTGTCCCACTCCATATGCTTGCTCAAAACCAAAAGCTGATGTGGCTGAAATCCAGAACAGGAACCAAATACTCACCTTTGATGTGAAGCATGGCTTGCTGCAGAAAATAAGCTATAAGAATGGTTCGCAAAATGTTGCGGGTGAGGAAATAGCTATGTACTCTAGCTCGGGAAGTGGAGCCTACCTATTTAAACCGAAAGGTGATGCCCAGCCTATCATTGAAGAAGGTGGGCAGTTGGTGATCTCTGAGGGCCCTTTGGTGCAGGAAGTTTACTCTTATCCAAGGACTGCATGGGAGAAGAGCCCCATTTCTCATAGCACCCGTATCTACAATGGAGAGAATACTGTACAGGAATTTCTCATTGAGAAGGAGTATCATGTTGAGCTTCTCGGCCAGGAGTTTGATGACAAGGAGTTGATAGTTAGGTATAAAACAGATGTTGATAACAAAAGAATATTCTTTTCTGATTTAAATGGCTTTCAGATGAGCCGGAGAGAAACCTATGATAAAATCCCAGTTCAGGGCAATTATTACCCTATGCCCTCTCTTGCATTCATGCAGGGCTCCAATGGTCAGCGGTTTTCAGTCCATTCCCGGCAGGCGTTGGGTGTCGCAAGTCTTAAAAATGGATGGTTGGAGATTATGCTTGACCGTCGTTTGGTAAGAGATGATGGACGAGGTCTTGGACAAGGAGTGATGGACAACCGTGCTATGAATGTAATCTTCCACATCGTTGTGGAGTCTAACATTTCAGCCACATCAAACCCAGTTTCCAACCCATTGCCCTTGAACCCCTCTCTTCTTTCTCACCGTGTCAGTACTCACCTGAACTATCCGTTGCATGCATTCATTAACAAGAAGCCAGAGGAGTTAACAGTGCAGCCACCCCCAAGATCTTTCTCCCCCTTAGCCGCTTCCTTACCATGTGATCTGCATATTGTAAGTTTTAAGGTTCCCCAACCTCTAAAATACACTCAGCAACCTCTCGGAGATTCTAGGTTTGCGCTAATTTTACAGAGACAGAACTGGGACTCTTCATATTGTCGGAAGGGCAGATCAGGGTGCACTAGATTTGCTGATGAGACTGTGAATCTCTTTTACATGTTCAAAGACCTTGCGGTATTTAATGCAAGAGCTACTTCCTTAAATCTTTTGCATGAGGACATGGATATGCTTGGGTATACTGATCAATTTGGAGATGTTGCTCAAGACGGACACGTTCTTATGTCTCCAATGGAAATACAGGCTTACAAGTTGGAATTGCGGCCGCACAAATGAATGTACTAGCAGCAGATTTTCTTACTATATTCTCATGGTTGCTTTTTCAGCAGGGTTCATGGCTAAACGCTAATGCGTCCTTATCTCTCCTGTGGAAATGCAGGCTTACAAGTTCAAGTTACGACCACACGGATGAAGGTACTGGTGACTTGATTTCATTTCTCCATTCTCATGGATGCTTCTTCAATGGGGTTAGTAGCATATGACAATGGTTTCTCATATCCCACTATCAACATGATCAAAGTGGGAACCATATATACGCTGCTACTTCAATACATGTTACCAAGTAAGTGCAAAGACAATTCGTACGAGTAGCGATACAGTCAAAGCAACCATCCATGGTTGCCCTTGCGAGCAAGTCGATTGATGGACTTGCCCTTGGGATTCTTTTTGTTGTGAAACTGCTGCTAACAATTATGTATGCGATTAGTATTTGTGTGTTCAAAATGATAGTGAGGTTAATGGTGATGTTTGGATTTTGTATTTTGCTTGTAATGGTTCACATGGTAGAGGGCTATTTTTGAAGTGTCCAAGTACTTCCATCCAAGAGATTCTTGGGTTTGATCACTCGTGCCATGTCAGTTGTCCGTCCAAAGAGAACTTCTTTGGTTCAAGCGCCATGTAGAGCTAGGGATGGGCAAAATACATATGGGTATGGGTAACCGCGGTTACCCGTCTATTAAGTTGACGGTTATGGTTATGAGTAATCGTTTGGACAAATAAACGGTTATGGGTATAACCGTTTATCCATGAAATTTAAATGGGCGGTTATAGGTATTATTCGCGGTTATAACGGGTATCCATCGGTTATGGGTAATATTCGCGGTTATAATGGGTATCCATTTACCCATTTAATTTAATATATGTAAAATTAAAAACCTTCAGAGAACTCACAACTCCGTCACTCACTCTCTCCGCCTCTCGACTTCGACTCAACCTCACCTCGGCGACCTCACTCAGACAACCTCACCACCCTCCTTGGCCTCACCTCAGACAACCTCCTCACCTCAGAATTCGGCCACACCCACATCACACAGACCATCTGATCTCTCTCTCTACTTCTCATCCATCAGACCTTGACTGTGTCGAAGAGCCTTCCTTCACGGCACAAAGGCAGAGCTATGGGCACCGGTGCCACTCACCTCTCTGATTTCTCTCCCTTGACTTCTTCATCCAGATTTCAGGGCACTGTACACCGATTATCCTCCAAATCAGGTAAATTTTGGAATTAATTTAGGGTTTGTGAAATTTAAATTAGGGTTTGTGAAATCTAGTCTTGATTAGGCATTGTTCTTGATTTTATTAAAAATTTGCATTGTTCTTGATTTTATTAAAAATGTTGGTTGATTTTTAGAGCAATTATCCTTAATCAACCAACATTTTTAATAAAATCAAGAACAATGCCTAATCAAAGACTAGATTTCACAAACCCTAATTTAAATTTCACAAACCCTAAATCTCAAACCCTAAATTAATTCCAAAATTTACCTGATTTGGGGGATAATCGGTGTACAGTGCCTTGAAATCTGGATGAAGCAATCAAGGGAGAGAAATCAGAGAGGTGAGCGGCGTTGGTGGCCATAGATATGCCTATGTGCCGTTAAGGAAGGCTCTTCGACACAGTCAAGGTTTGAGGGATGAGAAGTCGAGAAATAGATCAGAGGGTCTGTGTGATGTGGGTGTGGCCAGATTCTGAGGTGAGGAGGTTGTCTAAGGTGAGGTCGAGGAGGGTGGTGAGGTTGTCTGAGCGAGGTCGCCGAGGTGAGGTCGAGTCAAAGTCGAGAGGCGGAGAGAGAGAGTGACGGAGTTGTAAGTTATCTGAGGGTTTTTAATTTTACATATATTAAATTAAATGGATACCCATTATAACCACGAATATTATCCATAACCGATAGATACCCGTTATAACCGCGGATAATACTCATAACCGTCCATTTAAATTTCATGAATAAACGGTTATACACATAACCATTTATTTGTCTAAACGGTTACCCATAACCATAACCGTTAACTTTAAATGGACAGGTAACCGTAGTTACCCATACCCATAGATATTTAGGAAAACTAATGAAAATGGCTTGAAAACTTTGAGTTTTAATGATAAGGACAAAATAAAGGATAAAGTGAATAGTACCAGGATTGACTTTTTAGTGTTAAAATGTGATTTTTCGTTAAAATGAACAGTACAGATGTTTTTCGTTAAAGTTCCTAGATATTTTCCCATCCCCAATCCCGAATCAGTTATCCTACGCCCGGATTATATATCAAAGCCGACGCGCCCAAACATCGCTAAAAACACGCACGCGCTCTGAGCTGCTGAAGCCTGAAATTTAGCGACTCTCTCTCCTCTCTCTTAAAACGATAAGCTCTTTCTCAGCTGAAGAAATTTTGGTTCTCCGATCAGAGACCTCCGCCGCGTCCTCTCTCTCACTCTCTTCCTCCCAGAGGTCAGTCGCTCCTCCGCCGTGGTCCTTTATTTATATTCCGATGTTAAATCAGTTCAATTTTCTGGCTCGATATTTTTCAGATCTATCGCACTTTATTTCTAGATCTTCCCTTACGGAGCTTCTGAAATCATAATTTCTGGAATTAATTTATTTTTTGCTGCTATTAATCTTAAATAGCGATTGATTTTGGATTATAAGATATGAAAATTTAATTATATGGGTTTTTATAGTGAATTATTTTTTTTAATGTGACTGTATTTATTTCAATATCTTGTTGTTTGTGAGATAAATTGCCTATAGAAATTATCTGAATTGCAATGATTTGGGAATTTAGTTACAGAATTTTAGACTTGAATTTTGATATCCAAAACATTGTAATCCAGAGGAAGCATAAAGGGGACAAGTTCAGGAAATTGAAGGGAAGGTGATTTGGGGACATTTTTGGCACGAGAATATAAATCGGTAACGATGCCTGCCCAGAAGATCGAAACGGGTCACCAGGACACTGTCCACGATGTAGCCATGGATTACTATGGAAAGCGTCTAGCAACAGCTTCGTCTGATGCCACCATTAAGATAATTGGTGTCGGAAACGCTTCACAGCACCTTGCTACATTGTCAGCTCATAGAGGCCCTGTCTGGGAGGTAGCTTGGGCGCATCCCAAGTTTGGGTCGATTCTTGCTTCTTGTTCATATGATGGGCAGGTGATCATTTGGAAGGAGGGAAATCCCAATGAGTGGCAACAGGCTCATGTTTTTAACGACCACAAGTCATCGGTAAATTCCATTGCTTGGGCACCTCATGAACTTGGTCTGAGCTTAGCTTGCGGTTCTTCTGATGGGAATATTTCGGTTTTCACTGCCAGGGCCGATGGTGGTTGGGACACCACTAAGATAGATCAAGCCCACCCTGTTGGAGTAACCTCAGTTTCATGGGCTCCATCGATGGCTCCTGGTGCTCTAGTTGGATCTGGTCTGCTTGATCCAGTTCATAAGCTGGCATCCGGTGGGTGTGATAATACTGTGAAGGTGTGGAAGCTGTACAATGGGATCTGGAAGATGGACTGCTTCCCTGCCCTTCAAATGCACAGCGATTGGGTGAGAGATGTAGCATGGGCACCCAACTTGGGACTTCCAAAGTCCACAATCGCAAGTGCTTCACAGGACGGAACAGTGGTGATTTGGACTGTGGCCAAGGAAGGTGAGCAATGGGAGGGGAAGGTTTTGAAGGATTTTAAGACCCCGGTCTGGAGGGTGTCGTGGTCTCTAACCGGAAACTTGCTGGCTGTGGCTGGTGGAAATAACAATGTAACATTGTGGAAAGAATCTGTCGACGGTGAGTGGCAACAAGTAAGCACAGTTGAGCCATAGGTTTTGTATTTCCTACTTCCAATTACTGTCTTTTAATATTATCATGAACTAGATTGCTAGCGTCTTAGAAAAGGTTTATCTTGGTTTTCCATTACTTTCCCTGTTAGGGGTTTATTGAATTGTTTTCGCTTATTGTGGGATGAAGATTCAGATTTTATATTGTAATCAGTTGGAGTTAGATCATATGTGTTTTCCATCCTTGTGTATCTGTTTCTGATTTATTTTTTGCTGGTGAAATGGTAATAGTCATAAGTTGCACTTCTCATTGGTTTTTCTTTTAGACCTTCGTACTAGTCGTTGGTTTTCACTTTGGCAGAAATGCTCAAAGTTGTGACCAAATTATGATATCTTTGCCTATGTTGTCGAAAACTCAACTCTTTTGCCCACCTGCATAGCTATATTTTTGTTAGTCTGGGATTTCCAAACGGAACAGTTGGTCATCGTTTACTGCCACTGGCTGGAAATTGATGAAGCGGGGAGCGTTACCAGAACTGGTTGACTTTCGATTTCCTGTTTTGTTGAAGCTTAAAGGACCTACCATCGATTCTTCAGTCTTTGTTCTCTTCCAAAATTACTTAAGCTGCTGTTAAGTTGGTGATCTTTGCTCATACCAAACCCAGGCACAATACTCAAAACCCAAAAGAGAGCTCTGCATGAAAAGACCTTTCTGCGCACCAAGATCACTCTATGAACGGCCGTGTCTGCTTGCCCGCGGAGCTCACATTTCGAATTCTAATTCCCGGGTTTTCTCAGAACTGAGATTTACAGGTAGTGAAGCAGAAATCTCGTGAGGATCAGGCTGTTGTTATCGCCGGTCAGCTCCCGGACGGCGAGGAAAATTGCAAAACCTGTTGTCGCGGTGGAGGATCCCAGAAGGTAGCGTGTAATAGACGGGTTCCATTTGTGATTATACAAGTTGAGGGAAGGATTTTTTTCCAAGTGTTTCTCCTCTTGTATAGTGACATGTGTATAATGACATGCGTATGTGCAGTGCTTCGAACATACTGAAAAATCTCTCATTTTCAGGTCCACGGACGTCGTTTGGGGTTTAAAAAACGTGTAAGAATGGTTGTTGCTGGCCTAATCTTCACCTTTGAATTAGCCTGGATATGTTTTTAATGGGGGAGAGAAATAGGAAGAGAGAGAATCTAGATCCATATTAATTTTGCGACTAAATGATTCTTAATAAAAACACAAGAAACTCCAGATGACACTGGCATTGGCATTTGTTAGTAAGAGTAGGATTCTCTCTCCTCCTATTCACATTTTCTTTCGTGTTCTCGTCTCACATTTTACTTTTTGTCATTTTGTCTCTATAAAAAAATTAATATAAGATGTTGACGTGACTTAATAAACATGTCTGATATGAAAAAAAACACATGTACAAATGCTTAGATCTCGTCAAACGTCACACGTTCCTCACAAAAACAGGAGATGTCACGTACATTGATCTCACTTGAGTCTACATTCGTTCTATTTGATGTGAGTATTATATTAATAAGATAAGACAATAACGAAGCTTAAACTGGTTTGAGAGTTGCATAAACAAACGCAAAGTGTTCCAGAACTTACGTTTGTTTCAAGTAAAAATATAAGAAGGCAAAAAAAAAAAAAAAAAAAGGAGAAAAGGAAGTAGTAACCAAATTCTTTTTCTCCTCTACTTTCCTTACTAGATACTTGGTCCATTCGCAAATTGCAGCTCACTCGATTATATTAATTGCAATTTCTTAATTTCATGTTGCAAATAGTAATTAAATTTTATTGGCTTTTTATCCAAACTCACCTCTAAGATTGGTATAACTCCTCACTTAGTTCATGAAATTTAAAATCGATAAAAGTGACTACTGACTTGTCTACCATCAGTTATTTTGTAAAAAATCTCAGTTAAATTGAGGCTACTTTTGTCAATTCAACCTTTCTACTTGAACTAGTGGTTTCTCTAATTTAACGAAGATTTTTTACAAAAATAACTAAATGATTGCCAGTAGATAATCTTAAAAAACAATTATATCGATTTTTAAATCTCAAGCATCAAAGTTGCTAAAAACCCAATTTTATTTTATTGGAAATTAATACACAAAAATCCAACAACAAAATTGTACTCGTTTTCAGTCGGTACTTGTCTAACTAATATTCTCCTGTGGCCCTGTCCACCCAAAGCGTTTGGTCGAGTGGTGAATCTGTAATTTGACTCAAAACGCAGGTCAATCTCCTCGCGCAAGTTACAAAAGCAAACAAAACTGAAACGGCGAAGATAAAAGATTCCCAGGACGCGCAAGCCACAAGAGAGTGAGATAGGCCAAGAGAGCTTCCAACAAATAACCAGTTCGTCCATGGCGGCGACAGCTCGCGCCGTCATTCTCTCCCGCTTCACCGACCTGTCTCTCAAGCCTTCCCAGCCGCCGCCCCCGATTACCGGCCACCTCCTCGTCCGCCCCTTACTCCCCTCCTCCTTCCGGCGGCGTCGTTTGTCCGCCAGCTCGACTTCCGCCGTCCGATGCCTCATGTCCGGCGTCGACGGCGGCGGCGTGTCGGACGAGTTCGTCTCGACTCGGAAGTCCGGCTTCGACCGTGGCTTCTCCGTGATTGCGAACATGCTCAAGAAAATTGAGCCCCTCGACACCTCCGTTATCTCCAAGGGCGTTACGGATTCCGCCAGGGACTCCATGAAGCAGACCATTTCTACTATGCTGGGGTTGCTCCCGTCCTATCAGTTCTCCGTCACCGTTAGGGTTTCCAAAGCCCCTCTCCATCGCCTCCTCACATCCTCGATAATCACCGGGTAATAATTCACATTTCTAACCCCGTTCTTCAAATTTCAGTAAATTCAGTGCGTAATTGTATTAATTAGAGTAAAATTGTTTTGGGATTTATCTTATCAATTAGATATACACTGTGGAACGCGGAGTATCGGATATCGTTGATGAGGAATTTCGACAAATCCACGGAGAATTCTGTGCCGTTGGATCGGTCGGAGATCGATGGGGTGTCGGATAGGGTGGAGAGTGAGGAAAGGGATGATGGAAATGGTATCGGGGTGAGTGGCGAACTCTTGGATTCAGCAACTCCCCATGTTTTTGGCGATTTGCCTCCGGAGGCTTTGAATTGTATCCAGAGGTTGGAGTCAGAGTTGACAAATGTGAAGGAGGTGAGCATTTGCTCTCTGAATTTTCCGTTTTGTTCATTTCCACAATTACCAGTGCTTTTCTTTGAATTGCGCCTAAAATAGTCGAAAATTCTAGTATGGACAGCTTGTTCTTTGGTTTTGAAAGCAAGATCAAGGCTCGTTTTGGCTGGTTTACAATCTTCCAAGTTTTGGTTTATGAACGTTTTTATTTTTGTGCGTGTTTTGTATCAATCTTAAATACGAAGGTGGAAAATCAACCCATCTGGTTGTTAATGGGTAACCATTAAGACCCGTGTAGTTTGATTTCACCGTAATATGGTGGTGAGATTGGTAGTTTTGATGATGGTGTAATACCTTATTATGGTGATGACAGTGTAATGATGCTCAAGTTTTGTGCTTTTGAGCTTAATTCGTTGTTGAAGTTAAATGCTTGAAGGATCGTGCATTGTTTTAAGCGGAATGTGGGAATGACATACTTTGCTTTTTTCAGGAACTGAAGGCGCTAAAGCAGGAAAATATGCAATTAGAATATGACAGAGGACCTAGGAACGATTTATTGGAGTATCTACGGTCTCTAGATTCTGATATGGTAATTATCTTACTCTGCGATGGAGTTGCAATTTTTACGAGTCCCATCTTTTCTGATGATGGTGTGATGATTTGTTTTAACAGGTGACTGAACTATCTCGACCGACATCATTTGAGGTGGAGGAAATTATACACCAGCTTGTTCAAAATGTATTGCAGCGATTCTTCAAGGACGGTACTTCCTCAGACTTTGTGGAAGATTTGGTGACAGGGGACAGTGAGAATGGCCTAGATGCTGATGGCGAACTTGACACCATAGGAACTTCACGAGATTACCTAGCGAAGCTGCTTTTCTGGTTAGACTCCTGTCGTAGTCCTCCGTAAATGCTTTGTTTTTCTTACTTGTCCAAATTTGCCTTGCATTAAGTCACTTCTGGAACCGTCCCGTGTTCACGTAGTGTACACGTAGAGTCGTAGAGGCAAATAAATACGCCAGACTTTTTATGATATCTTACTAGCTGAACCGATTCCATTAGCGATTGAAATCTGAAGGTTCGTATATTTCTTGTGGCAGGTGTATGTTGTTAGGTCATCATTTAAGAGGGTTGGAGAACCGATTGCATTTGAGTTGCGTTGTTGGATTATTGTGAAGAGAGGAAAGTGGGAGGCGTGTACATCCTTCATGTTCGTCTATATCAACCTTTATTCTTCTTCAAGTTCATCTGTATTATTCTTCTTCGTTTTACGGAATACCGCAATAATTACGGTTCTTCCGACCTCTTTCATCGTGATTCACGATGAAAGAGGATTCGTGATCTCCATAAGTTAACCTATCGTACACATTTGGAATTGTATTCGATTTTACAAGTGTATATAGATGAAAAAAATTAGCAACCAACACTCCTGCTGGCATAGCCAAATTCTTCTTGTTGCCATTATTTCGTGACAATTCAGACATCCGCACTACTCATTTTAAATTCGTCTTATAGAAACCAAGGATTCGGATCTCTCTCTTTTCTCAACTGCTCGAACCTCTAGATCCTTAAGCTTTGGAGACAGAGATGATCTTGACTTGTCACATATAATGATTACTTCTGAGTTTTATATTTCTACCCAACCAGGATGTTCCTGGACAAACACATCAGAGAAATAGGAAAGCGATCATCTCTTTATCCTTTCCATCTAATCCTTCTTATCAAACAATTTGGGTCTTTAAAATTTGAATCAACGGTTAAAGTTATTATAACTTCTAAAGTGAGCCCGTATTTTTAGCCGTTAAATCAAATTTCAAGGGTCTGAATTGTTTGATGAGAATGATTAGGTGAAAGGGATTCGGAGAGATCTAGAGAAATAGACAAAAATAATTTAAGACCAACTTGGGAAAAAAAATTAATTAAATTGGCTTAATTGGAACAATATGTTCCAAACTCTTCACTCTGTTCAAATCTCCCTCCCTATTTACATCCGGTAAAAATAATATTTCCTCCTATGTATCAACGAATTTCTGTAAAAAAAATCATCAAACAAATAATCCTGTGCTAATTAATGCTACAACATCAAAAATTGTTGATGGTGGTGATGTTGAAGAAGATTCAGATCTTGAAGCTGACTTTGATGGTGTTTGTAGAGATCGTAAGGGGCCCACAGAAGATCGACAGGGCAAGGCGTTCCCAAATCCAGCCGCGTCCATGGCTTCCCTCTCCCGCTCCAATGCAGCAAACTCACCGGACCCGAATGCAGAGACCTGCAACTGTTCATCAAATTATCGCCGCCGAGGCCGTGCTGGTTCCACCGGTGGTGAATCGCCTCCACGTCGCCGCCGAACACCAGCAGAAACGGCGGAAGAGAACCCAGCTCGTAAATCCTCTTCTCCTTCTGAATCTCCATCCAAGTCTCGATCTTTCTCGTGAACCCTCCGGCTCGCCATCTCGCCAAGTCGATCACCATCACACCGGTGTTGAAATAGCACGGTCGCTTTTGGTCGAACACCTTGGAGAGCTCGGAATCTTTCCAGAATTCGTCGGAGAAATACTTGGTGAAATTCGCGTGGCAGTACTCCGGAGCTCCGATCACTCTCGACCCGGATAAGGTAATCTCCCATAACTTCTGGATATCGTCGACAACAACGACGTCGGAGTCGAGATAAATCACGCGCTCGACGCAGGGGTCGAGCAAATCAGCCAAGTAGCTCCGCGCGTAGTTCAATGGATTCTCGAGAGCTCGTCGAATCGAAGACGAAATCAGATGACTCACCAAGCTCTCTCTGAACACATAGACTCGGAAATTAAGCGACGGAAAAGTCGATTTCAGAATGCGGGAGAGGTGGTGGGAATCGACGGCGCTGGAGTCGGAGGCGACGAAGTGGAAGAATGTGTTTTCCGGGCAGGAAGCGTGCTTGAAAACAGAGTGGACGGCGGCAATGGTGCCGCGCAAGTACTCGGAATCGATCGTCATCGCGACGTGGACGAGGGAGGGATCGCAAACCTCCTTTCCTGCTCTGTCGTTGGAGCCCAGAAGAGCAGGGCAGCTGATTCCGTTCGTGTATTCCGGCGCTTCTGAGAAATCCATGTTGAATCCTTCTTCCTTTCCGGTTTGCGGGTCCGGGAATGATCGGATTGCGGCTGCCGGAATGAGAACGAGGGAGAGGAGGAGGAGGAGAGAAATGGGTTTAAGGAGAAGCATCGTCGGGGAATGGAGATGGAGAGGAGGAGAGGGAGGAGTATTTGTAAGTGAAATGGTCAAAGAAAAAGGCAAGACGGAGAAAACACGTCTTTTTGGTACTAGTATTTTGTGGGGGTGTAGCAGAAAACGCGTCTGTAATATTTGGGTGCTTTGCGGAAATTGCAAGAGTAGTTGGGGCCAAAATCAAAAATTACACTAACAGTCCCGTAGGTTAGTTGAATTTTCAGTTTTGTTCTGATAGTTTGTTTTTCTTTCGTCTTAATCCTTGTAAGTTCGTTTCGTTAGTATCGTTCCAATCTTGCAATGAGGCCAAATTTCTTTCGGTATAAGAGCATCTTCAATGTTAAGGGAAGTTGCAGGAATGGGTGGGTTCAAAAATAAAGAAAACTTAAAGAGAAGTTGTTATGCAGCATTCTTACGTGGGTGGAATTGTTTCCCTATGTAACAGTGGACTCACTCTTTGAATTCCTATATACAGTCCTCATATTTAAGGCTTTTGTTAAGGTATCCGGTGAGTCCTTATATTGAGATATTTTGAGGATTTTTATTCCAACTCATTAGAAGCCTTTTGTTTCTATATTTAAGGACTAAACGGGTATAGGGTGCTATTAGAGATGTTCTAAGTTTTATAAATGAGAAGATGTGCAAATGATAGATAGGGGAAAAAAATTTAAACTTTTAGCGGCGAACTAAGGGTTCACTTGGGATCCCTTCCTCAATTACTAATCAAACACGAGCCCTAACTCGGGCGCATTCTTCCTTTTGCTTATTAGCCTACGGGGTATTAGAAGTAGTTTTTAAATATTGTTCGCCTTGTAGGTTTTTACTCGTTGTGCTTATGTAGGACTTGGAAGTGCTACTTTAAAAAGCATTAGGCTAAAAAGCAAGTTTAAGATCGATAAGCTCTTTCAACTGATACTGCTAAACAAATTTGTAAGCGTTTTTGGGTGCTAGAAACCACTTTTAGACTGTGTGAAAGCAAGAACAAACGTGTCTAAATTAGAAATAAAAAAGATCTAGATGGATGAAAGTGCAAAAAAAACAAGTGTAAAGAAAAAGGTAAAATTTCAGGTAAATTGAGAGGACTGTTATGCAATTTAACATATTTGGTTTGGTGCAGAGGGAACTTTCTTGCTGTTTTCGGGTTGTTTGAATATTATTTTAATATGGTTTCCCATTGGAGGTTCGGTTCTGTCCAGAGGATGAAGCCATGTGGCCATGTGCTTTGAACAGCTTGGAATATCATTAATATTGACCACATGCCATGAACGTTCCTTTTTTTAACCAAAATAATTAGAGTAACGCGAGAGAAATTAAATTCGTTGATAAAATTTGGTAACTACATGAAAGTAGATAATTTGATTATTATTTAAGCGTTGATAAATGCGTTCATTTCTTATTAGTGACACATTATTTGATCTCCTTTTAAAGAAGAGAAGAAAACTCTTTTAAAGTGAGACTATTCATAGATTTTTCACTACCTCAGAGTTTAATATCACTTTATGTGCCAAACATTATAAAAAATTATACAAAAAACAAGAGTTGTCAGAAAGTTCATACAGAGTCTCACTTATCAGAGAGTCTCCTTAGCATTTCTCTTTAAGGAAATATTTTTGTTTACCATCCTAAAGTGATTAGTCATGTTCACTAGCCTATTTATGACTGTTAAATAATTACCATCCTAAAGTGATTAGTCATGCTCATCGGCCTATTTAGAATTGTTAGATGAATTTAAATTTTGAATTATGTGTAGTAAATAAACATAAATCTCTAAACTTAAACTCAACCAACAATAATAAATAGGGTGTGAATATTATCTTGAGTGCGGTGAGCAAAATACATCCTCTTTTTAAAATGATAAAAAAGTAAAGAGAGTCAAGAATCGTTCTGTTTGTGGGCTTGTATCTCCTTTTAATATGACATTCATTATTAGTACGAGAAATTATTCTTCGATCTCTGTCATTTGTACCATAACGTGTACAAATTCGTATTTAAAAAATAAATATTTATGGTAAAGTTATTAACAAATAATTGACTAGCTTTGAAACCAAGATTTGTCACAGCCAAGATATCATTTTTTTTATTGAATTAAAAAATATATTATGTGTGAAAAATGAAGGAAAAAAACAAAATAATAAACCAACTTGACTTCTTAATTTTCCAAGATGGTTAACAAATCACGTGGACAGATGAGGAGAAAACGGCGGCCACCTGGCTATCGTCACCACAATGCCTTAGCACCATACATCCCATCTGGCAGGTCCACATTACATATTGAATAATTCAATCGAATTTTGACACGCAAAAATTGGAAATTCTAGAATGTACCCATTGGAACCTTCTCTAAGAATTCATCGTCTATAGATTCTGAGGCATGCTATGAGTCGGTTCATACTAAACAAACACACGAATTTATCTTGATGCCACAATAATGATATTTCGAGACAACTATATGTGGTACACAACACTGTGTAATTGGGTTGAGAAAACTGCCATAGAGGCATCCTGGGTGCAGGGAATGTCTACTCCCAGAAAACTTAAAATGTGTTAGCAAGTCAAGATGACAAAGATTGACTGTAATGAAACGTTGTTTAGGAGGAGAGAGATCTTTTGGGAACATGCCATTGTGTTATTAGTCTAGAACGCTAGTGACATTCAGATAAGTGTATGTAAGTCATTCCCGTCTTTAAGGGCATCATTTGTGTCACAAAGTGTTGCTCGCTATAGGCATGGTGGGTTCAAGTTCACTTCCACAAAAGCCAAATGGGTAGTGATTTTCACTCTTTTTTTACCTCTCACACATTCTTCTTAATTTTGTTCGTTAATCTTCTTCAATGCATTTGATCTGACGGGCAGAAATTAAAGAGTGTCCAAAAGATAAAAATAAATGTGTGAATAGCACATCCCGTAAAAATTATTGAAGCTACCAAATGGAAAGTCAAAAGATCATAAAAGAAGAGCATTCTAAAATTCTCCCCTTGTTATAAGAATTTTTTAAAATTCAATTTGAAATATATATATATATATATATATATTTTAGGGAACTTTAACGATAAGATTCTAGTACTGTTCACTTTAACGAAAAACTACATTTTTACACTAAAAAATCAATCATAATACTATTCACTTTACCAATTATTTTGTCCTTATCGTTAAGACTCAAAGTTTTCAAACATTTTTCATTAGTTTTCCTTATTTTTTATGCTCTTTGAAACAAATTAATTAATTGTTGATATTTAAAAGAGCCAAGGGCAATTCAGTAATTAACGGCTGCAACTTCTTGTTACCGCTGACGGAGCTCAGGCCACAAATGGCGTGAGAAAGTCGACAACGCGACATGCAGAAAGTGGATCCCAATCGAGGAGTCCGTTACACATCCACATCGGAGAACCACGTAACGGCCCGTTATCTATGCTAGCCGGATTCAACCCGCTCCGGCCCACTTTCCGAGCAAGCTAATCCAGTTCCGTGGGCCCCGGCCCGTTCTAGCTTTGTAACTTAGATTCAGCGTTCACTTCTTCCTCCTTGGTCTTGAATCTCTCTTGAACTTATTTCGATCCATTCTCCACGCGTTAAGAAAATGATTTCCGCACATTACTTTTCTTCATCCCTCACACCGTTTATTTCCGTCCTACGTAATTGAATCCGAAAATAAACGGAGTTGTACGATGGAGAAAATACGGGTGCGCAAATTATGCTTATCCCGGAACAGCGTATACAGAACAGAAGCATCAAAATACCACATGCGAGATCAATTTTCCAGAGCAAAAAGAGTTATTGACGAAGAACGCGAACAGTTGTAAACTATTACAGATAGATATCTTATCACACTACTTTACACTGAAATTTAAAGAATCTGTTCTATAAAACTGACATAATCTTACGGCGGAAAAGAATAATGATGCAGTAATGCCTGCAAAATGCTGGTATGAGACCGCAAAGAAAGCCCGGGATTTGTTAAAACACGCGCGCTTTTCTGCTATATTTGATCAATTTGTTACACTAAGTGTGCTTATGGAAGTGGGGAAGAAAATATCCTATCTATGACAAGGAACTATAACTTAAAATACCTTTTCTACGAAATTATCATACACCAACCTTATATACACAACAATGGCTCCTAGGCCGATCTTCTGACCCGGACATGCTCTACGTGTGCAGGACCACCACCATCCTTCTCCGGTCTCAGAAATCGAGTAGATGACTCCTATTGCAAGAAAGCATTGGTTACTCTTGTTCTCAAAACTTGGGGCAGTGGAATATATACGGAAAAAGGGTGTATCAAGAGTTTTCAAAAAGTTTATCTAGTGTGTACCTTTAGCTTCCCAATCTCAAAAGGAATTTCCTTCTAAGCTATGATGAGACTGATAAGAATTTGTGGAACCGCTGTACTCTCGTCTGATCACAATACGGTGATCTGGCCCCAGATGTTCTCCTTTTCCTTCTCATACGGAAGAAGTAATCTTCTGTGTCAAGAACGTAAGAGATCTGCCACATGATACTTTGATGAACAAAACTCCGTGGACAAAAATTGCATTATATAATATGTATGGCTAGTATTTCTCCAGCTTCCAGCTGTGCTTATATTGTAAATAAGGTAAAACTGATGGCATGCCGAAGATAAGAAATACATACGAGGGCGAGATACCTTGGATGAGTTGCAAGCTATCTTGCACTCCAATCCATTGACTAACTGAACACCATCCATGGCCCTGCAAAAGGCAGAGGATTCATCTTGCCCTGCATATTTGCGCTTGTTTCTGCAAAAACGGATTGAATCTGCAAGTTAGCCATTAACTAACATAAACATTCTGGAAACTTTTGGCTCATAATATACCACAAGGTAACCTGAGTTGCTGTATACGACTAATCCAAACTACCTCTTAACAAAAACCCTCTTTGTCAACCAAAATAGGGTGAAAAGACCATTTGGTCTTCTATCACAAAATAAAATCATGACTAATGTAATTTCGAACAAAACAAATTTTGCTGTTTTTTTCCCTTCCCTTTCCCATATGTCATCACAACATATCTCTAATTTAAAATTTTAACAATTTAAGCCTCTTCTACGCTCTCTCTCTCTCTCCCTCTTTTCTCTCAAACTTCTCTCTCCTGTATAATTTTATTCCTTTTAAATATTTTATATTTACACACACAATGTGCAGGCTTCATCTAATTATTAATATATCATAACATTGTGAGAGGATTTACACATAACTTTTCTTGCCAAAAGAAAGGAAGGAACTAAATCCATTGAATGATCCCGTATTTCAGTGTCTATCATGTTTCTTCAGAAAAGTATAGCAATTCTAGCACTTTTAACATTTATTTAATTCTTATAGCCTCGGTATGGGCACAGAAAGATGTCCTAAACCATATAAGGTGCCAGTGCTCACTTACAGTGTGAGCCTAGAGTCTTACTGTTACCCTCTAATGTAATGTAAAATCCGAAGAGTGCATTATCACCTCTGAAGGGTAATCCCATGCGGCTCCTTTTTTCCAGGAAAAACCGGCAGAAATTCATTGTGCAGATAGGATGCAAAATTAGGTTCCATAGAAACTGCAAACACCTCGGGCTTTTCACTCACACTGTCCATCAACTGGATGGACAGTCGGGAGGGCACAGAGGACTGCACAAACAAAATTAAAAATAAGAAAGTATATTAAAAAAGGTAGGTTATGGTCAAATAAATGGGCAAGTGTCAAAGAACTTACAAACTCCAATCTGTAAATATTCTCCTCATGAATGAGGACACGTGCATTTTCATGGTAAACAGAATCAATTAACTTCCCAGTTTTCCGGGACTTTTCATATTCATATAATTGAAGCAGCTTATTGTCAGTCTCATCACTTGCAACAGTTTGAAGCTGCATAAATAACCACTAATCAGAACCTTGGCAGAAAAAGCAAACACACAGAAAAATTCGTTTTTTTTTTTTTTGGTTAAAAGTACAGAATTTCTAGTGAGCAAACCTGTTTGACGAATTTATATATTAATTTGTCCAAGGTGAATAATATATATGACTGGTTTCCAATAATAGCTCGGCATTCATCCTCAAATTTTGCGTTATCAATAGATCCATCTAGCAAATTGTATAGAGCACTCATAAATCTGCATAACAGATGAATAAATGTAGAGCATGTGATTAAAATTGCTTTGAACAGTTGCCACAGTTCTAATCTATTATCTATACAAAAGAGAAAATGGCCAGAAAATACCTGTCATACAGATCCGGAGAGCTGCCATCCTTTGAAGTTCTCCATTTCATTTCTGCACCTGTGGAACTTGTTTTTGCAGATAAAATCCTTTCATATAGAATCTGCAAATTCAAATAAGTCAAGCTTATATCCGGTAGAAAATAAAGACATACACAAACTCCAAAAATTAATGAAAAGGTCTCTTACTTGATGAAGCCTATAAAGCACATAGAAATTATCATTCCCATAGAAAACACGAGAGTCTTTCCTTTCTTCAAGTAAAGAACCTGGTACATGCTTCGCAAGAGGTTTCACAGATAAAAGAAAACATTCGGACAACGGCGAACACATTCCATCTCCTCCAACAAGATGTCCATCAGCCATCCCTTCAGCCTCACCTTCGCTCTCAGCCTTACCATCAATGTCATCTTGTTCAGCATCTTCATCATCACCTTGCTCTTCTCGGGAACATTCATCACCAGCTGTCTCACTGCCAGAGACATCTTCACCAGCCTCGGAAACATTTTCACTGTTTTCATCATCTGCATCTGCATCATTGTCTCCAGCTTCCTGACCACTAATGTCTTCCCTATTCCCAGACTGAAACAGTCTACTTTCAATACTGCGGTTTGCCTTAGCTTGCACCCCAGCATCTCCAGGGACAACAAAGTTATCCTCCCCAAAGTCAGCAATTGGTGATAATTCCCCCTCTTCCTTTTCAATTTTGGAGGGCCCAAGAGACTCTTCATGATGACTTTTAACTTTAGTGCTTTCTGGAAATACTCCATTAGCAATTAAAGCAGGTTTTGCAATATCACCACCCTGAAGCACCAAACAGTATATCAGTAAGTGTTGCCAAAACCATATGATCAAATAAAAAATAAAAAAAAAACAACAGATGACCATATTCCAGAATCAAGACTCATACCTCTGATGACGGAACAGCATCAGCATTTCCTTGCTGTAAAGGGTCATTGCCACTAATAGAGGCACCAGCCCTTGATGTGGTTGCAACACACCCTTCAATTCAAAAAAATTCACAGCATTCTAGCATTATTATAACTCCAGAAAGTAAAATAAATTATAACATTCGAGTAAGATGCCATCACAGGAAAATAAAAATCAAATTCCAAATAACAGACCTGATAGCACTTCCAAGCTCGTTCTACCATGATTATTATCTGCTCCAATTGGATGTGATGGTTGACTGGACGGCCATGCATTGTCCGTGTTGGTGGCCAGAAACCTTTTCTTAGGGACATCCGTATTTTTCTGGTCTCTCTCTAGTTGAAGTTTCTCAGATGTGGAATCTTTCCTAGAGACAGGATGTGCATCACGACTTCCATCTTCTTTAGCTGAGTTATCCCCGTTAGCCAAACTTTCAACTTCTGCTAAAGCATTTCCTTCTTCATTACACACAGATTTGGGCTGCTTAAGATTCACTGGGGCAGAATCGCCACCAGGACTTCCATCGCTTTCTCCTATGCTTGAAGCAATACAATTCTTAGCCTGATTCCTACTTTTGTCGACATCTTCATCATCCTCTGAATCGTTGGGTCGAGAAGAAACACCCAGCATTGGCTCCAAAATGGTAGTGTAAAGTCTCATAGCCTTATTTAATTGTTCTTTCGTTGAGAAAACCTCTTCACATGAATATTGGACAAGTTTATACAAGTCTTCATGTAAGCTGATATCTAAGTATTCATACTCCATATGTGGAACTATAGATTGCCTGTTTCCAGCAGCAACAGCCAGAAGGATATCATCCTCTATCTGCTTTTTCTCTTTCAATTCTTTGATCTCAGCCACCAAAGCTGTCAATCAATAGGAGTCAGAATCGGCAAGGAGGAACAATTATAAAAAACCGATATAAAGATAAATGCTCAAGGAACTAATAAACTAATCTTCAATATTAAAAACTTACATTTGCTACTCAAGTTCTTTGAATCTTGTTGCTTGAAATAGAAGCTCCGGTGATCAAGTGATTTGTAATGGTTTTTGGCATATATATCTGCCCAAACCTTGTTAAAATCGGATCTACACCTTGTCCATTCATCTTGTTTCTGCTTCAGGCGAGTTAATACAACAGGCAAGGCCAGAGTTGGATTTTTCCGCAGTATGTCCATCACATCAAGACCATGGTCACCATATAAACGTTCAATGCACCTTAAGTTTAAAGCTGCAATAAAACAAATAAATGACAAAGGTCAATGCAGTTTAAAAAGCTCAAATACCAGAATAGATACTTGACATTTAATTGCTTCTCAATTGGTTTACAGATACAAACCAGTGAAGTGGTCTTCAATACGGATTACAGTTTCCATGCTGATCTTATTTTCATTGATGCTGTTCAAGAGTTCCTCTGCTCGCTTAGCAGTTGAGCTCACCGACTCTAACAACATATCCAACTCAAACCTAAACTTTCCAAAATGAAAGCCAACATAAGTTATCAATAATGAACTAGCATGTGCTGTAAAGGAAATGCTATTATATCAATGATTCATAGTTATCCGCAGAACCTAATGGGACCTCTATCCATCCATACGATCATGCAAGCACACTTGTACACCAAAAGTAAAAATGATACTCAACAGCCTTAACATTACCTATCATCCTCACATCTGAACAGACTTTCTTCATACTGATTTCTGCGCATATGTTTAAAAGAGTAATCTTCACTTCCTGAAGTCACAGATACCCAATGGTCATTCAGAACCTGAGCACCAAGTTCTGATCTCTGGCTTGCTGAAGGTATTGGATACTGCAAAGTGACAAGCAACAATAAGTTGAGCATCAGACAATGTTACTAAATTAAGTACAGAATGTTAAGTCGTACGTCTTCAGGCAGAAGCCGATAGCTTGGAGTACAACGTTCACAGTTAGAGAGGTCAAGCTCTTGAATAGATTTTGCCCAATACTTCTCCCTGTATCTTTCCTTTTCTTTAGCTCCCTCCATTTCACGCTTTGGCTCTTTATTTTTGTCCTCTACCTTCAGGGATCTAGATGAAGGAACAGGACCATCACTACTCAGAGATTCTGCAATCAACAGTCTACCAATCAGGATTCTCTAATTACAGAAGCAAGCAAAAATTCCAGAGAAATGAGAAACCATATGATAGCTCAAATTCTAAAATGCGGAAGATTAATTGTTCTTCCAAATGCAGATAGTACAGAAACTCATATGAAAAAGAGACCAATGGAGGACTAATATACATACTTCTACTCATAACACCAGCAAGGAACCCATCTGCAAGTGCCAAGGACAAATACCATCAGATACAATTTAAAGGATGACAAAGCACAAGAAAGCAGCTCAAAATTGATGGCATTTTTTAAAGTTACCTATATTCTCGCAACGCTCCAAAAAATCATTAAACTCCTCCATAAGATCTGAATACTTTCCCAATAAATCAGTCACCTGAGATGGGCAAAGTTTAATGGAAAAAGTCAAACTAGAGGCAATAGCATTTTTTTAAGGAAGTTCATAGAATAGATAGATAAATATGTGGTTATCATGAAGTGTCCTTCGTCCAGTTTCCCCTGGCTCAAAGAGAAAGCACACAATGCTCGACTTGAAGTGTTGACTAACTGCTGAACATGGAGTAGCACGTACCAAACCTTGCAGATCATTCCTTTTAATAATTCCGTTGCTATATATGTTAAGCAACTTCAAAAATGCCTCGTAGTCATCTTGACTACACAACCTCTCCTTCACCTTCCCACAGAAAATGAATCCCTGGCTGTACATGCCTGACATACAAATGAGAGACCATAAGCAACACTGATGTAATAACACGAGAACTGAAACTATAGAACTTTAAAAAGCAACAATGAAGTTCCAAAAAATGATGAATGTAAGCAAAAAAAGCTGCATCCATTTCCCAAGGATTTCAAAATCAAGTAATGTGATACAAAAAGTTCAGGTTTTCCTAATACTGAACGGCTAAACAAGGCACATTGCGGATTAAATGAATATTCAATTAACACATCCCTAATGACAGACTTTTAGACCAAGTACCAGAAATTGCGTCTCTTTCTCCTGGTAGAATTTACACTAACGCTAAAACTAAACAAGCAAAATGCATTTTTGTTAGTTCCATAACCTAAAATCGTATCAATGTTGACAAACACGAATATTGCAATCTCAAAACAAATTACAACTGCTTATTCCATTTAACAAACCAGAGAATAAAACAACACTGCCTAAATGCAACACATTTAAGGTCCATGAATGTATATAACTGAAACAATTCCATCATAAACTCACTCTTTAAGGAGTCTTTGTCATCATAAGGAGCGAAGTTAGCAGTCACACCAAAACCTTCAACCTTCCTGGAGGGTTTTCTTTTATCAGGAAAACGCTGTAATTTGTAGTCCCTATTGTTATCATTCTCTAATTCTCTATCATCATCGTCCCGATTTCTTCTATCCCTATTCTCCTTTTCACTACGCTTTCTGTGCTCCTTCGGAACTTTCACCATTCCTTTGTCATCGTCGAGCTCAGGACGATCAACACTAAGATCACGATCAGCATGGGGTGTCATGATCCTATCCCTCCTACGTTGCTGTGAAAAGAGACCAGCACCCCATTACAAATCACTAACTAAACAAGAAACCGTTAAAAACATAAGAGAAAGAATTTTGTACTTACCTTCTCCATATGCATTGGCCGAAATGTGGGTGTAGCAGAGCTTCGCTCATTGAAACGGGGAAATGAATTGTGGCCATATTGAGCTTGATGTGCTGAAGCTGCTGCTGACGCATCTGGTAAAAATCTGGTGAACTCATCAAGTAAATCTGGATGCTCATCAAAAAGAGCAGCAACCTGGAAATTAATTTAAATTACTAAGAACATAGGGAGGAATATTTTCTAAAATAAATAGAAATACCTTGTAACAGCCAATAAATCATCATCAAACACCAAATGTGAAAATTTGTGTATATTTACCTCACTGTAAACTTCATTTATATCCTTGTGCTCCTTTCGATACATGTTTAGTATGTCCAGGAATGATTTATAGACATGATCATCATTTTGGAAACGTTTCTGTAGGACAGAAATCCATCAATCAAACAGACAATAATAAATGTTTACACTTGTGATTAGGATAAAATTAAACATATTCACCTTTATCTTGTTTACAAAACTGATAGCTTCCTCAAACTCAACTGTCTTTTTTGGTGGAGTCTCATCTTCATCAAGGGTTATCTCATAACCCTTCGGCAAGAAGGTATTAAAGCCCAAAATTAAGTTGTTATGCCCTTTAAATAATTCCTTTACTCTTGCAATGACACCTGCTGTGTCGGTTCTGAAATAGACAAAAACAGAATCCATCCGCTGAAAAATCAACTAGGAAGGAATTACGAGTGGAAAAAAAGAATAATAATGGGTACATTCAGATACCTTTGAGCCTTGAAATCTTTCATGACCTCAAGAAATGTATCGTATTTTTCTCTTTGGTCTAGAAACATGTCCTTCACTTCTTTGAGGTAGGTTAGAGCGTCATTGGTGGTCAATTTCTGTGAAGCACCTCCTACTCCTCCAATGGGCCCACCTCCACCTACTCCAACGCCCCCTCCTCCACCTCCTCCCCCCGGTATCTGGGATTGCCTGTTGCCCCACATCCAGAAAATGATCATCAACTCAACATATAACTATAAAATAAATACTGTCAAATTCATGAAACATTATAAACCCAAGCAGTGGCGAAGCCAGAAATTCATGTTAGGAGGGGCACACTTTAAACCAAAATGGACATAATATATGCAGAAACTATCTCGTTCTTTTGGCCGCCTGAGTGACCATGCATTAATTCTTCATTACAAATGATCAACTACATCAAGAGTTGAAAATAAAACATTATTATAAGCACATCCATTTATTCTTCATTCTTGATATCAAATTCAAATGTAACTGACCATGCATTCATTTTCTCATAGTGGCCAAGAGAACATTTTTTTCTAAAAACATGAAGGTATGAGAGCATTTGAAGGGTTTTTTGTGCTAATTTGGAAAAAGGAAATATTTCTCTTCTTGATTTCATAGACGATCTAATAGAGGAAAATGAGAAATTTACCAAAATAATAGTCTACAAGCAAAGGAAAAAAATGTAGATAGGCAAGAAACAGAGAATATGATCAACTAATATTAGTAAAGAACTATAATTTCGAATCTTTAATGCAAAAAATTTAAGGCTTTGTATTTGTGGATTGAAGTTAATTGGACTGACCAATACAACACAAATTCAAGTTGATAGTGGTATTATAAAATTAATTAATGATAGTAAAAGTTGTTAGGAAAAAATAATTTTAGGATAGGCTCTTTTAGGATAGGCCCGAGCCTATCCTAGTCTAAAGGTGGCTCCGCCACTGAACCCAAGCATAATTACTCCTTCCTCCTACGCATATGCTCCTGATAACTTTTTTTCTAAATCCAATTAGCTGCAATAACCAAAGAGAACATACTTCCAGAAAACAAAGATAATCATCATTCTCCGGTACTATTTTCATCAACACTGCATCTACCGCATTGATCTTAAGCCCCAAACATAAAACTATATTAACATTCATCAGAAGATTTAGTCTTCCTGAAAGCATATCATATCCGCTGAAAACAACATACCTAACAAAATTTTCAGAAAGCTCTCGACTTTACCTCTAAAACCCACATTACTACTCAATTCAACTCTAATAAACAACAAACCCTAAACAAATTGAAGAAATTTCATGATCAAGCACAACCAATCCAATCCACAGCAGCTACAAAACTACGACGCAATTCGACAACAACGATCAAATTACAATAATATTAACAATCAAGTGCAAGAGAACCTAAATCGCGCACCGATACACTGACACGGGCAAAATTAAATTCTCACAAACCAAACAAAACAAAACATAAAGCAAATCATGCAATTGAAGAGTGATGAATAAATCATGAGACTTACGAGTCCCCGCGCGACGAACCGGGGGGCCGCTTCAATTGAGCACCGCCGAACACATCATCTCTTACTCTCTTCATCCCTGTCAAAAACAAACAAAAATCGCAAATCAGAAAAATACAGATATTAAAAAAATTAAAACAAAAAAACAGCCATTTGCCTTAAGCAACCGCCGAAGACTTACTTTTCAGCAACAGATCTTTAATCGCGCACAGGAGGAAGAGAGAGAAAGAGACAAATTAAACCAAAAAAAGAGAGAGAGAATGGTTTTTGAGGTATCTGATTATCTTCTGCTTCCTGCTTTCTGCTTCTGCTTTCTGCTTTCTGCTTCTGCTTCTGCTTCTGCTTCTTGTGTTACGTTAGGAAGTGGATTTTGTGAGAGAAAAGAAGAGAAGGGAGCGATTTTTGGGGAGAAGAGAAACCGTGGAAGTGCGGAGGAAGGAAATAAACGGAGACAAAATTCGAAATATGTGAAGGGAAATGGAATGCCTTGTGTTTTGGGGTTTTCTCTTCCCATCGGAGCCTCCACTTGCCAAATTAAATATGTAAAAAATAAGGCTTTTTATATTAGCATCCCACAAAATGTTGAATGCATCCACATTAAAATTTAATATTAATGACTAATTTACTCTACTATGTAATGATAATTTTGACCTTATTAGGTTTAAAAAATAATAAAAAATTTATAAATACACCTCAAATCACTTTTAACGTATTATTTATCTATTTCAACTATCAAAACTCCTCTCATTCTCTATTATTGAATAAAACCCTAAGCAATGAAACTACAAACATGTTGATTGAGAAAAATAATTTTTGACGAATGGAACACGAAATCGATGTTTCGAAAGTTTTGAAATCATTATTATTGTTATTGAAAAACGTTCAAATGAACCTAAACATTTTTTGAAATCATTCAATTTGAAGTCATTCGACAAACTAACGTTCAGATAGTTTGAAATCATTCGGCAAAATAAAAAATGAGTTCTATAAGATTTGAGAAATGTGGGGTGTGTATAGAATATAAGATGTATATTAAGAATGTGGGGTGTGAGGGTATTATGGGGAAGAAAGTGGGGTGTATTAAGATAATTTTTAATTGAAAAAGTAAATGTGGGGTATATTAAGTATGTGAGGTTTATTTAACAATTTGTGGGGTGCTAATATAATAAGCCCTAATTATATTAACATCCCACAAATTGTTGAATAAACCCCACAAACTTAATACACCCCACATTTGCTTTTTCACTTAAAGTTTTATCTTAATACACCCCACTTATTTTCCCATAATACCCCCACACCCCATATTCTCAATATACATCTTATATTTTGTACATACACCCCACATTTTCTTTACACCTAATAAATCAAATTTCCTCTTCTTATGTGGCCTTTTTTATTAACTTCCACACATAATGTTGAATGCAACCTACATTAAAATTTGATATTAAATGACTTATGTATCCTATTATGCAATAACAATTTCGACCTTATTATGTTTTATAAAAAATAAAAAATTTCTAAACACACACCCAAATCACTTTTAACCTATTATTTATTTCAACTATCAAAACCTCTCGCTCTCCATTGTTAAACAAAACACTAACCAAACTATCTGCGTTATTTTATTCTCTAATTTTGATTTCAAATGAGATTAATCCCACATATCTGCTTGTGATTTCCCAAGAAACTATACTACCCAAGCCTATTATTGATTGATTTAAGCTTAATATTTATTTACAATTCCTAGACACCCGATTATCTGAAGGCTTCTCTCTTAGGAAGTTCTCACTATTTTCAATGGTGAATTACTGCAACATAACTCATTCCATTCAATGGTTAATTACTGCAATATAACTCATTATGTTCAATTGGCGGCACTCAAGTGACTATTTTCTTAACTCCACATCAATCACACACGACGTTAGAGTTTTACTCCAAATTCAATTTAATTTATAAAAAAATAAAAATGGGTATTATAAGATTTGAAGAGTGTGGGATGTGGAGTATGTGGAGGTGTATGTTGGGAATGTAGGGTGTAAGAGTATTTTGCGAAAGTATGTGAGGTGTGTAGTAAGATAATTTTTAATTGAAAAAATAAATGTGAGGTGTATTAAATATGTGAGATTATTCAACAATATGTGTGATGTTAATATAATAAGTCTTCTTATATTTACCTATTTCGTTCATTTCGGACCGGTTTATGGGCCGGGTTTGAACAATTTTAGCCCATGATTATGTTGTCTCAAAAGTACATGTTAATTGTCACTAGAAAGTTGCCCTACTTTGGTACCCAAATTGTTACAACAACAACAACAAAAACAATCAAGCTTTATCCAATTAAATAGGTCGATTGCAAGAATCATGAAATGTCACTGTACTCGGTTTTATGTCAAGTCTTCCATTAATACTCAAATTATTAGAAAAAAAAAGTTTACAACATTGAGTTTGATATGTTTGATGTCTTACCGAGTACTCTTGTAAGTATATAAGAAATTATGGCTCTGTTGTAGTTAGTACTTTTGTGACTATATTATTAAGCTCAGTATATTATGTGACTAGAAATCGACCTCATTTTCTAGATGATGTTGATGTACCACATCTTTGAAGTTGTATTGGTCATTCGCTATTACTCTATAATCTTTACTAATTAATAAAAAAAAAATTGTCAACCAAAAGAGAGTGAAAAGATAAATTAGTCTTCTATCACAAAAAAAATGATGGGCAATAATGTAATTTCACATGTCCAAATTTTTTTTTTTATTGAAGTCTCACCCACAGGTGATGTTAAAATATCTTCAATATTAAAAAAATACAAAAACAAAAACCTCCCACCCCCCACATTCTCTCTCTCTCTCTCATTCTCTCCTTATCATTTTTTAAAATAATGTATTCATACACACAAATACGTAGACAAATACTAGTCACAAATCAACGTAAAAGATATTGGTTGGCACTTAATCCATAGTTTTATTCCAAAACCCTGGACTTTGGGTGAAATTAGCAAAAAGGTAAACTGGGCCGAAATCTGGCAGAGTCTCCCCCCTTTTTTCGTGTGCGTTGGTTTTGTATTTTACTTGTTTTGTTTGTTTTGTCGGATAAACTTTTCAATGTATTGAGAATATAATTTGGTATAATAAGTGTCATAATACAATAATTTAAATTTTTATTTTAAATTTGCCTCTATTTATATTATTATATTTGATGTAACTGACTGTGTTCCGGCAGTCTCGGTTTTTGTAGTGTTTGCATTGTGTTTCTGGAGGAATCTTAAACCTGAAACCGCACAAGTTTTCTGAACGCAAGTACACAAAAAGGTGGCTTCCTTCCTCCCAAGTGGTATCGTGGTGGTACGGTCAACTTCATGTACAAAAGTAATCACAGTAGACTATGCAAAAAGGCAAGCCCATATGATAGTGACAAAGGAGAAGAAAACAATGGGGAGGAGTTGGGAGATTTAAAATTTTAAATACACATAAACATTAGTTTCATGACTTTGATTCATTCCTAACGACTTTAAAGCGAAGGGTCTACAACGAGTAAATATGAAGAAAAAAAAGAAAAGTGTTAAAAGCAGAATTAGGTTAGGTCAGTTAACCATGATAATGTGTCCGTTCACCCCCTCAATATCGTCTTATGTGTGTTTGTTTTCCTTCACTAGCCCTTATTGGACAAGACTAAACTACTAGTTAGTCTAGTCTCATGTTTGTTACTTCACGGATTAGCTTTAGTGGGAGTAAGTCGGATTCGCCTCAACTAAGAACTGATTTGGTACTAAGGTGCTTTTATAAAAAGTGGGTATAAAAAAAAACTGAGCTCAAAAAGGTGTTTGGTAAACAGTTAAAAACAATTTATTTTCACACTTTTAGATGAACAAAAACTGAAAACGTAAAGCAGCAAAAATGAACTTATTCTCAAAGTACAGCAGAAGCAATTTTTTCTCAAAGCACATCAACAAGTAAATATGAAGAAAGAAAAAAAGGTGTTAAAAACAAAATTAGGTTACATCAGTTAACCATGACAATTTATCAGTTCACCCACTCAATATTGTGTTATCAAGAAAGGAATTAAGGGTGTGTTTGTTTCCTTCACTAGCCTTCACTAGACTAATAGTTAGTCCAATCTCATCTCTCTCATCTTATGTTTGTTACTTCAACGGACTAGGTTTAGTGACTAATATTTAGTCCAGTCTCATCTTATATTTGTTACTTCAACGGACTAGGTTTAGTGGGAGTAAGATAGCCTCGGCCTGGACTACGGACCAGATGGTCTTAGCGAGACGTCGTGAACCATGGGACCAGCTAATACCTTCGATCGCTCTCTGCTCGCGTTCTCTCCCTCTCTCTTTGTCCCCAACCCTGAATCATGAACAAAGACCTCGATTCGAGATGGGAACCAGAATTGGACTTTTGCAGTGATTTGCCACACTTTTCAGTCCCCAGAGGGTTCAGTTTGCGATCTCCCTTGAGTTTTGATCAAGGAGTTTGTATTGGGTAGGTAGATTTTGGGGTTTTACAATCAGCTAATCGAAATATCGAATTTGAAATTATTGAAATTCTCGGAATATTGGGGATTTGTTCTAATTCATTGCTCTGAAATGTAGGGTTTTGGGGTTTTGCAGGTGCAAGAGGAGAAGATGAAAGTCAACATCTTGCGTATCCTTCTCACTGTGTTTGTGTTATCATGTTCTTTCTTTCAAATTACTCTAGTTTATATGCCATTTGCAACTAGCTCTTGTAATTTTCTATACTTTTTATTCCAATATATTAACTTTGTTGCATTTAATCATATGGTAGACTGAATTTTGGCTTGATAGTTTCGAATTCCTATGGTTTTGATTTTGTTCTTTCTTTCAAATTTACTAGTTTATACCATTTAGAAATAGCTTTTGTAATGCTCTTTTCTTTCCCGTCTTCAAACTGTTGCATCTAATTGTGGTGGAATGAATTTCAGCTTGACGGTATTGAATTTCAATGATTTGTCATCCTCTGGAACTATGAATAGTTAATGAGCTGTGGAGTTTTACTACCTTAATTGTAGTCTAATGTTACGAATGGCGATCACAAGATCATTATCTATTATGTTAGTCATGAATCTCTAGCATATGCTCCCCCTGTTTATGATTTGGTGCGATTATCTTTTTAACAACGATCGTGATAATTTGACAATCCCATTTGCTCGGTGATCTTGTTTTAACTTGGAACATCTTTGATGGGAAATGGACGTGTTGTGAATTTTATCGTAACTGTTTTCTCTTGACCCTTCTCTCTTTGCGAATATCTGCCGGGGATTTTAAACAGAGTATGTCTTTTTTACCTTTTTCTATCTCTTATGTTAATTAATCAATTAGAAATAATCAATTGCTGCATGTGTGAATGTGTCTAAGTGTAAATTTGATGTGCCTTTTTTTTCTGGGATATGTTTTATTTCATCTACTTTGGAGCTCTAACTCTTATCCCTTTGGACCTGCAGGTGGGATGTTGTTGCTTCATGGACATGGGATGCACAAGACGAAATATGTGGGATTTGTAGGATGGTATTTGATGGTTGTTGTCCCGATTGTAAACTCCCTGGGGATAATTGCCTGCTAAGTAAGTCGCTAGAAATTTGATGTTACCCATTTGTTTCAATTTATCTGTTATTTTTCCTTTTATGAATTGATTGATAAGTTTTTGTAAGTTGAAGTGATTTTTTCCTTCATTCCCTGCTTTCGTTTTGCCAGAAATTTGATGTTATCATATTTTGGGATGGGTTAATTGGTATCTTGTGGGAAAGTTTGTGAAGAAGGATTTGTGTGCATCTACATTGTTTAATGAAATAGCTTAAGAGACAAAGTGAGGACGCTGCAAGAGACCTCTTCGATCGAATGACCCATTTTTTTCATAACATGGTTGTATGCTCTCAGTTTTGCATAATTAGGGGTGAATTATGGAATGGATGGGATTCGGGAGGCAGATTAACTAAAATTCTAGGGGTGCTACTCTGTTCCAAGCACTAGCAGAACCGTTGTGACATGTACCCTCAATTTTTTATCCCACAGCTGCAGTTCATCAATCAGCAGTGCATTTTTCTTGTCTACTACAAGTGATGCAATATGAGAAAGCTACTGTTATCCGTGAAAGTGTTTTTGATACTGCAGGAAGGTCAAAAGAATAAGCTCTTCAAGTCATGAACGTATTTTCTTCGGTCCTGGACGGATGTGTCTTGAGGTATCTTAAGCTTTCAGACAAAGCCATGGGCGAAAAGGGTGTCAATGCATTTGGGTCACTTATGAGATCACAAAACACTTTGGAAGAGCCTTATTTGATGAATGTGGTAGGGCTCAATATGTATCACAACATGAGAGGAGTGGCACCGCGATGTCATTAAGAAGGTCAAATGGCTGAACGAGACCTATGCCGCCAAGACTGATGCACTACAAACTCTTAGGTGGTAAGCTTGAGCATTGTGTCTTCTAGGAGGCATGTGATCCTTGTAGACGAGACCTATGCCACCAAGACTAATGCACTGGAAGCTGTTATGCATGCACCTGTCCATATTCAAGGATCTCTGACTTTTTTGTGCAATCGGTATCAATTGCTCATATTGGCTGTAATGTATACTGCTGATGAGGATTTGGAGTCTATAACCAATGTTCAATAAATCTTATACAAGGCTCGTTCATCTTCTAAACTGCAAATTTGGTTCTATTTGCCTATCAATTTGAGTCGTTGAAAGTTTTTGCTTCAATGGAGTTCCTTTTTTTTTTGGTATAATATTGGTTTAATTCTTGTTAATCGTATAGTATTAGTTCGTGGTTGAAAGAACTTAAAATTGAACAATAATTTGCAAACACCAAACTATGAACAGTACTGTTTTCACTATCCTGCTTCTTAGTCTGACACTGCATCAAACGTTTTACTAAATCAGTCCAGCTTATTATAGTCTAAGCTAGTCCAGGTTAGTCCCTGAAGCTAGTCCAGTCCGAAATTATCCGGTGCAACAAACGCACCCTAAGTTGCTTATCAATAAGAAAAAACAATTATTTTATTTAATACAAAGAAAAAAACTAAGATAAAGGCCCATCCATAACTGGAAACGGGAAAATGAAAGTGGATAAGCTTATTTGTTCTCTTCTTGCCAACTTTCTCCCAAGCATTCAATTTTATTTGAAAAATAATTTCCTACAAGATAACAGAAGTGTTTTACGCACACCTTAACACGCTCGTGTTTTTTTGTTTTTATAAAAACACGAAATGTTAGTTGACATAATCCTAACATTGAAATTTTTCTGTGCCTCGAACAAATTGCCCTTGATATAAAGTCGGTTTAACTTCACGAGGTTTCCGCTAATGCGTGGAATATATACTTCCATATGAATATATTTGAGGGATGATGCTTTACACCGTTTTTTACTTCCACATACATTCTTGTTAATTTATGTTATTTGAATTTCTTTAATTTATTCAATTCAACAGCCAAAGATTAAGAATAACGTATGGGAAGTAAAAAGAAATATGTAGATAGCACTACCCTATTTAAAAAGAAAACGGTAACATATTTTGTAACAAAATTTGATTAATATCATCAAACACAAGTAGTGAAAATTACTTATGTTTAATTACCTCTCTGTCAAACTCCGTTATGTCTTTTTCTTGTGTTCGATACATGTCCAGATCATGTCCAGGAATGATTTGTAAACATGACTATCAAATAAATAGAACACATTTTCACGTGAGTATCGATCCCAATAAATTTCTATCAAATAAATAACATGGCTATATATGCAATTAGTCTAGGAATAATTTGTAAACATGGCTATCAATTGTTATTTTGGATTTGTCTAAGGAAAACGCTGATATTTTGTTATAGTCGTTGTGATAGCTGCACATTTTCACAAGTAATGAAATTTCTTCAGATGCTTAGTTATGTTGTCCAACTGTGAATTTGAAACATATTCTAACAAAAGTTAAAACATATGTTCAAAGAAAAACTATGATGTGATGGTGCAATATCGACACGTGCATGGGCGGATGTACATTGGGACTAAGGTGGTCCTAGAACCACTCGAAGGCTAGACATATACATGTGAAGATCTTCTGATGACCGTCCAAGGATTTGATGTAATGTCTGCTAGCATATCTCGACAAGTTGCATCGACAACACGCAATAGATTCTCTTGATTTCACTAATCAAATTGCTTCCGCAAAATGCCTCACTAAATAAACTGAATGCCTCGAGCCCACCACATGTTCGACAAAATGCTTCGATAAATAAACTGAATTTTTTTTATCACATTCTGTATATATCTAAAAAAATTAAACCTTCAACACTGCAACTCCCCAATGTTCGAATCTTGATCTGTCATTGAACACATGGTATATACAGATGAACAGCATGCATGATAAATATTACCCACTATTATGACCCTATATCTTGTTTAACAAACTGGTAGCTTCCTTAAACTCAACTGCCTTTTCTGGTGGAGTCTCTTATCTTCTCAAAACGCGAGCAGGAACCCATCTGCAAGAATAAATCCAATCGGATACAATCTATAAAGGAGAAAGAACCACAAGCAAGCAACTTAATGTGATGACATTTTTGACACGTACCTACATTCTCATTTCTCACAACGGTCCAAGAAATCATTGAACTTCTCCAGAAGATCTGGATACATTCCGAATAAATCAGTCGCCTGACTTGGGGGCAGAGTTTACCATAAAAAAGATGTCAAACTAGAGACAACACCACCATGTAATCAATCCTTTTATAAAGGGCGACCCTAAATCAGTACGGCTCCACTCTTTGTGAGGGTCGAGTGGGAACGTCTATTGTATGCAGCCTTACTCTTGCTTTGAAAATAGACTGTTTTTACGACTAGAACCACCTTTCGGTCACAAAGGACCAACTTTTTCATTACGCCAGGGCTCGCCCTCGTAATCAGTTTTTTTATCTTACATAATATTTTTGAACAAAGTTTAATAAATAGAAAGATGAAATCTATGCTCAAAAAGTAAGCAGACAATGTATAAGACTCACCAAAGTTTGTAGATCATTCCTCGTAATTATTCCCTTGTGAATTGTGATAAATCTGAAAGCACTTCAAAAACTCCTCGCAGTAAACTTAACTGCACAACCTCATTTGCACTTCTTCACAGAAAATGAATCCCTGGCGGTATATGCCCGACGAAAACCTGAGAGACTGTAAGCAACACTCGGTTAGTAACATTAGCATACTGAAATTGTTAGAAGAACACTTGCAATTTGCGAAAAAATTAATGAACGGAAGAAAAACAAGGCTAGGGTTTGAAAATTATATATAGAACAAAAACATATCATCATATTAAATCAAATCAGATACAATCTAAAAGGTAAAGAACCACAAGAAAGCAGCATAAAAGTGATGGCGTTTTCTTTTTACAGTTACCTGCATTTTCACGACGCTCCAATAAATCATTGAACTCCTCCAGAAGATCTGGATACTGTCCCAATACATCAGTCACCTGAGATGGGCAAAGTTTACCGGAAAAAGTGAAACTAGAGGCAACAATATTTTGTAAGAAAGTTTACCGAACAGAAAGATATATGTGTGGTTATCATAAATTATCCTTTGTCCAGTTTGCCCTAGCTTGAAGAGCAAGCACACAGGGCCTGCACGTTAAAAGTGTTGATTAAGTGCTGAACATCCATGGGGTAACATGTGCCAAAACTTGCAGATCATTCCTTTTAATTATTCCGTTGCTATAAATGTTAAGCAACTTAAAACATTCCCGCAAGTCATCTTTACTACACTCTTGAATCTTGTGAATATTTGCTTAATCTAGTTCCTATAACAACAAAAAAGTTTATAATATCAACAGAAAAACATGAAGAACATGTTTTCAGAAACATGAGAGGGGGCAGACTTGCCTACACTCCGAGATTCTACCGTAGCGTTCCAGACCAATATATAATGCTATGAGGGGAAAGAAAATTCAAAAGGGGTATTAAATGCACATAGACTCTCGATTTTTACTCAACCCTGTCGTGTTACCTTAGAGATTTTATTTTATCTGATGGGGGAAACGAAAAAAAGGCTAAAGCCCTTTATATAGGGCTAAACGCGCCTCCCCTGTAACTAATAATTAAGGTAAAGGGTCTTTACCAAGCCTCCAATCTTCGACCCACTCAAGCTTCATTGGCTTCAGAAGCCATGATGGCATCTTGAGATGTAGAGAACTATAGGAGGTGTCTCTCACGGTCTCACCAGAAGAGGGTATCTTTCCTCTCGTACTACTTTCCTCAACTTTCTGCTTACAACATTAATAAATTAATCTAGCCCTACCCAACTCCAAACCCAAACACAAATCCAAAGTTTGTTTGCACTTTAAATGGTGCAAGCCGTACTGGTAAACAAGAATTAGAGACGAGACTTGAAATACATGGTAAGCACTGTTTTGTAAACAGAGTGGAAGAAAGAGATAGAGAGAAAGAAAATGTATGTATTATTTTCCTTTCAATTCAACAACATTAACACTGATTACATTGTGTATATATCTAGCAACATTGCTTAGATACTAAGCTAACATAGGACTCTTAAGATGTTGACACTTGTCACAACCTTACACCATAGACTCTTAACCAACTTAACTACCTCACATACATCCTAACCATCTCACACACATGCACATATTATAGTTATCATCCTCCCTCAATCTCAGAGTGGAGCTTGCCAAGGCTGAGATTGTAGCAGTGTGTTTGATATAGAGGAGCAGACAACCCCTTTGTAAGGATATCAGCAAACTGCTCATTGGAGGAAACAAAGTGCACCTGCAGAAGCTTCTTTGCCACCCTTTCTCGGACAAAATGAACATCAACCTCAATATGTTTGGTCCGCTGATGCATGACAGGATTATATGCAAGGGCAATAGCAGAAAGATTATCACAGTACAGGGTCGTCGGACAAGGCACATCAATTTTCATAAAGTGAAGAATCTGTTTGATCCAATCAATTTCTGCAGAAGTACTTGAGAGGGCGCGGTATTCAGCTTCTGTAGATGAACGAGAAACTGTATTTTGTTTCTTGGATGACCAAGAAATGGGATTTGGCCCGAGAAACACAACTAAACCAGTAGTAGACCGTCTGTCATTAGGGTCTCCAGCCCAATCAGCATCACTGAATGCATGAAGATTCAAGTCTCCTTTGCGAAACTGATGCCAAGGTCCATAGTACCTTTTAAATAGCGAAGAATCCTCTTCACAGCAGCATAATGAGAGTCCATTGGACAGTGCATGAATTGACAAACCTGATGAACCGAGAAGGAGATATCGGGCCTTGTGAAAGTGAGATATTGAAGAGCACCCACAATGCTTCTATAGAGAGAAGGATTATTGAAATGATGGCCATCATCTTTCAATAACCTATTATAAGGTAAGCAAGGTGTGGAGCACGGCTTATAATGAACCATGTCAGCTTTAACCAACAAATCAGACACATATTTAGACTGAGAGAGGAACAGTCCACTTGCATTCTGTGTGATTTGGATCCCAAGAAAATAATGAAGAGGACCTAAATCTTTAATATCAAATTCCTCAGTCAAAGCCGTAATCACTGCAGCAATAGGGACAAAATGACTCCCTATGATGATAATATCATCCACATAAAGGAGGAGAAGGACCACAGAATGTCCATCATGCTTGACAAATAAAGACGGATTAGAATATGTTGAAAGGAACCCCAGAGAAGGAAGAAAAGATGTGAACCTCTCATTCCATGCTCTCGGGGCTTGTTTTAAGTCATACAAAGACTTATGCAATCTGCAAACATGTGTAGGGTTATGTGGATCACTAAACCCTAGTGGCTGGGACATATACACTTCCTCATTAAGAATGCCATGAAGAAATGCATTCTTCACATCGAGTTGACGCAAAGACCACCCAAAATGTGCTGCCAAGGCTATGACCAACCTCACAGTTGTAGGTTTGACAACCGGACTAAAAGTCTCGCCATAGTCAATACCCTCTTCTTGATTGAAACCTTTGGCAACAAGCCTTGCTTTGTACCTGGAAATAGTCCCATCAGCATGTCTCTTAAGCTTGAAAACCCACTTGCAGCCTACCAAATTCTTATTATGAGGTAATGGGACCAAAGACCAAGTATGTTGTGTTTTAAGAGTAGCCAACTCTTCTTCCATAGTAGAAAACCATAAATGAGACGTTAGAGCCGACTTATAGGTGGCAGGTTCCATTTGAGAAAGATCAACTGAATCAGCATCTTGAACCACAGAAAGAAAAGCTTTCTTCTTCGAAATACCATTTTTTGCTCAGGTTTGCATAGAATGAGTGTTCATATGAGGAATAGGAAGAAGAACCTGCAATCTGTCAGGTTGAAACTCATGTTGTATGGCAACACCAGGAGCACTCGAAGGCAGAGTAGGAGACTCATGAAAGATCTCAGAACAGGACACATTTGGAATCGTAGGAGCCACATGGAATGAAGAAGAGGATTGGTGGCCTGTTGATGCAGTAATGGACTGTAATGGAGTAGAAGTACCACTGTGTTGATCAGAACAGGGATGTGACATAGGCTCTGGCATACTAGGTGTCCTAGAATGTGGGAGGGACACAATATGATTGGTACCAGTGACTAAAATGAATGGAGATGGGGAAGAGGGTACAGATGTAGAGATGGAGTGATTAGAGACAGAACATGTAGCAGACAAGGTAAGATATGGAAATTCTGACTCATCAAACATTACATGTCTGGAAATATAAAACCGGGTATGAACAATGTCATAGCAAATGAAACCTTTGTAACTGGAAGCATAGCCTAGAAAAATGCATTTGATTGTCTTGGGTTGTAACTTGGTACTGTTATATGGTTTTAGTAACGGAAATATTGAGCAACCAAATATTCTGAGATGATGAACATCGGGAATATCATTAAACAATAGTTCAAAAAGAGATTTATTATAAAGTGTAGGTGAGGGCATTCGATTGATAAGGTAAACAGCAGCTTGGACAGCAAAAGACCAGAAAATTAGGGGTAAGGAAGCTGTTTGTAACAGGGTTATAGCAGTTTCAATGATATGCCTATGCTTCCGTTCAGCTAACCCGTTTTGCTCAGGTGTATAAGGACAGGATAGGTGATGTTTGATGCCTTTGTCCAACAAAAACTTTTGAAAAGATTTACTAAGATATTCTCCTCCACTATCACTTTGTAATGTTTTAATGGAAGTGGAAAAATGATTAGAGACAAAATTAGAAAAACCAACAAAGGTAGAGAAAACATCACTTTTATTAAGAATGGGAAACAACCAACAATGTCTATTGCATTCATCAATGAATGTCACATAGTACCGAAAACCATCTATCGAAGTACAAGGAGAAGGACCCCATACATCACTATGAATGATTTCAAATGGGTGGAGAGACTTAGACACAGATTTAACAAAGGGCAATTTACAAAACTTGCCTTCCAGACATGTATGACACATTACAGGCAAGGAATCAGGTGAGACAGACAGATTACACTTTTTTAACATGACAGAGACCACATAATTAGATGGGTGACCTAACCTACTATGCCAAAGACTAGAAGATACTTGACGGCCAAGGTAGGCAGCTTGAGGCTGAGAAAAGATAGCTCGAACTCTTACTGGAAGTGGTATGGGATACAATCCATTACTGCATTTGCCTTGAAAGAGAATCTTCCCTGTGGCTTTGTCCTGGATCCAAAAACAAAAGGCATCATAGATCAACCAACAATGATTATCTAAGCACAATTGATGCACAGATAACAGGTTCTGAGATAATCCAGGAACACAAAGAACTGAATTTAATTGCAATGGTTTTAAAGGAGTATGAAGAGTGGAGGAACCAATATGAGATATTGATAAACCTGCACCACTCGCAGTCTGAATGGTTTCATCAGCAGGGTATGGAGAGGCCAGGGACATATTACTCAAGTCAGCTGTCATATGGGAAGATGCTCCAGAATCAGTAAGCCAAAATTGTTGAGGATGAGCACTTGGCTGATGATGTTGTGATGAAGAAACATGCAAAGCAGTTGGAGCTTGAGTAGAAGGGTTAGAGTTTCTGAAATGGCAATATTTAGCACTATGATTCTTCTTCCCACAGATTTGACAACCCTCAGAAATGGTACTATCAGAATTCCGGAATCGGCAAGTTGGAGCAAAATGGCCAAACTTGCCACAAATTTGACAAGAGTTACTAGAAACACCCTGTTGCTTTGGTGGAGAAGAACCAAGAATGCCAGGAGCCGAATTATAATTGCCATAAATGGACTTGGAATTTCCAAACCGAGACTGAGAATTGTACTGAAATTTCCCTTTGTATTTGTTCTTGCTTTGGTTTGGCCTGATCCCAGAATGACCGGATGAATAAAATGTAGACGGAGAAGAACCACCATAAGAAGTATCAGTGGAATGACCCTCAAGTTTAGAGACACTGCCATTATTTCGAGCAACCATAACAGACAAGAAAGGTGTAATGGGAATGTTTTCAACCATTGCTTCCTCAGCAAGTAACTGAGATCGGAGATCTTTCATGGAGATGACATTTTCACGGCCTCGAATAATAGATCTCAGAGTATTATATTCAGATGAGAGACCATTCAAGGTCAAAATCACAATATCGTCATCATCGAACTGAACTCCAGCAGCAAACAGATAATCACGAGCTTCTTTAATGCGTTGCAAATATATCGAAATCGAATCCGTACCTTTCTT